CGAGGCCTTAGGTGGCCCACATGGTAAACATGGTCGTTTTTCCGGCTAAAAACGCTGTACTATATTGTATAGTAAGGCGTTTTCAGCCGGAAAAACGACCATGTATAGCATGTGGGCCACATAGGGCCTCGGTAGATGTCAAGTGCGCCGGACCATTAAAAATTATACCATACTCTGCTATAAATAACCAAAATAACATGTCTTTTCCTTTGTTTTGGTCTAAAGATGCACAAGAACACTCGGAAAATGTTGAAATTTAATGAACACATCTTTCAAAAAACATTTCATGAAGCACCTAAGATTTCCTTTGACAAATGTGCAATTTAGTTTTATCATTCACATCCAGTCAAACCTCAGTTTTTCGAACGTGTCTGTTCTCGAAACAAATTTCGGTTCTCAAACAAACTGAGCGCACTTGAATGCACGATTTGCCTTCCTTACTCGGGGAGACGAGGAAGTGATGCTTCCTCGTGTGGCTTTACTTTGTGAGCAGACGTGTTCAATAAACATTTTTATTTTAAAAAGAGCGTGGTTTCGGTTTTCAAACAATTCGGTTTTTGAACAGCCTCTGGAACGGATTATGGATGAAAAACGAGGTTTGACTGTATCTGCATTGCAACTGATCCCACTGACTGTACAAAGGCACAAAACCTTAACAATTGGTCTTGAAAAATATAGTAATGCACATTTAAGATTAAACGAGATTTATAAAGAAAGATATTTTAAACCATTTACACAAGCATATAAAATCTAAATGTAATCCCTGCCTATACCTTACAAACTAAGGAGAGTGCTATAATATGTGGAAAGAATAAAGTATTCACATGTCCTAGATGGCGTCTGCTGTGTTGGGCCTGTCTCAGTGACAGACTGAGGCCGCTGTTGTCTCTTCTCTGATCAAAACAATGTTGTCTTTTCCTCGGATCAAAACAGTGTTTCCCCCGAGCGGATATTCCATGAATTGCACTTTATAAAAAATATTTATTCCGTCTTTTTAAGCATTTTTTCACTTTTAAATTATCCTGCGTGCCTGATCAAACCTCCTTGCGGACCGGATGTTTGACACCCCTGTTCTTTGGTGATCGTGAATAAAGTGCAAATAAAACACCCATTAAGCACACTACCAAAACGTGCAAGCCAACTTTATTCATTGTTTCAAGATGCTTTGTTGATCAGGGCAACTCCGCTGGAATAGCTGAGACGCAAGTCTCGTCTGGATGCTGGCGGGGTGCTCTCTGCTGGTCCCCTGCAAAACCCAAAGGATCGCGGTGAAATCAAACTTCGTTTCAGATTGGGGAAACATCGTATGACTTTCTGAGGGCCCCGATAGTTTTTCCCCCTCAAAGTATTCACTGTATATCGATCAACATGTCAGAAACATTTCGGTCTCAAACTCCAGCCGAGGGCCCGTCATTGGAAAGGGGAAACAAGAAACCCGATTTCGCTTTCTAATGTCAGCTAACAGCAGTAACAATCATTGTAAAATTAGACCGCACACTCGCAAGAGGCTCGCGCCCATCGTCGACGGTGTTGACAAGGTCTTTACGAAACGTAAGGACGCCGTCTACTGGTGACCAATAGGAATGACAAACCTTCTCACCACGTTGGTCTTTGTTGTTGTGTTTATGATCCTCTGGACGAGTTGGAACTGGAAAAGTCAAATATTTGCATATCTGTAAACTTTGGCTAATCGCTGCCCTTATAAATGATTACGATTCCCCTGACAAAGCAACAAAAACCCTGACAACGGGTTACCGCGCATGCGCACACCATGCTTTATCAATCCGACCGTACGCAGCAATGAAAAAAAAATATACGATTGAGGATTACTTTTGCTGGTTTGCCGTGACAATAGTAGCGATCGACGACGACATTGTCGTTGGCTACCAGCAGGTGAGACGATCTGGATTTGAGCCAAAGGGAGAGAGAGAGAGAGAGAGAGAGAGAGAGCGAGAGAGAAGGAAAATGACAGAGCCGGCTCTTTGTACCGGCTCGTTCGCGACCGACACATCCCGACGGGATGTGCATCGAGTGAGGAGCGGTACCAGTGCAAATTATTCTTTCGTGGGGCTGGTTGAAGAGGAGGATTGTTTGTTGTTTATCTGCACGCGTCAACTTGAACGTTCCCGTGCGCTCAGGAGACCGGGATGACGTCACGCGCCTTTCCAAGTATGTCATGCTTTTCTTTGCTCACATGCTGCACGTGTGCTCGTTTTCCTTGCAGAGGTCGAGGAGGTTGAAGCAAACATCTGTCTTGTAATCTATTCGATACAATGATGCAGCACGGGGGATGGTTGATCTTCGCTGTCCGACGGAGCTGCGTTCCTATGTACGTAGGTCGGGACGCGCCGTAGTCTATCAGTCAAGGGAAAATCACGAAGTACTGTACGACGGTAACAAAGCATGCCCTATGTTCTTACGCTTCGTTACCTCGAGACGCTGTACGTCGGGACGGTCGTAAACCGAAGACCCCCTGTGCCCTTCATACAAACCCCGTTCAAACAGATCCGTCCCACACCCTCGTACAAATCGGGCCATAATTTCGCTTCTGCGGGAGACTCTGGACTCCAGACCACTGCTTCTCAAACTTTTTACACCAAGTCTCACCTGAAAAAAAAAAAACAACAAAAAAACAACATTTGGGCTCCAAGTGCCATCATCAGGACCAAAGACCACCAAGTGTTTGTCGGTAAATATCTTATTCTTAAGTATATTTAATATTGCTGTCAACCACTCTTACCTTGTGCAATCTAACACTGTGCCTAAAATCAGGAAAATATGGACACTATATAAATAATCATTTTCTAAATGAACGAAAAACGCTACTTAAATAAATGCTTCGAACAAACAGTGGTCCAAGAATAAATGCACGCACACTGAATTTTAAAGTGCAATTGAAAAAATACTGAATTAAAAGTTTAAAAAAAAATACATCTTTAGGATTACATGAAAAAATATTGGACTTTAAAGTTAAATACAACTCAACTGTACTTAGGCGGTTGTAATGACTGTCAATATTTGTATGAATCGAGCCCAAACAATCCAGTGGAAAACAAACAGCCAGCTCGTACAATGTGTTGTTTACTGTCTTTCGTGGATGAAACGGAGCTGCTGGGACAGATGGGAGGGAGCCGGCCTGTCGCGTCACCTCAATAGACCAAAAGGACAGAAAGCCGTAAAACATTGGCAGCACAAGAACAGCCCGGAGGCCGGCGGCTTTCAGAGGGACACCCCCACAACCTCACAAGCCCCCTGAGACCGCTCTCAAGGACTCACATCGATGTTCATTTGTTTATTACTTTGGACGAGTGTTTGAAGGGCGCACATCGAACGTCTTCAACTAAAGTAGCAATCATGCTTCCATTAAGTTTTTACAGGGCTTTGCTTTTAGAGAATTTCAGATTTTCAAAAAGAACGACTTGAATCCATTTGGGAATAGGTCGGACATCCAACAGAATCAGGAAGACGTCAAGCGCTGTGAATACTTGGCATCTGCACCGTAAATCACACACCCTCTTTCGTCTGCAGGGGCCAGCTCTCGTCACCGCCGGAGGATCCAGACCATCTCCACCAAGGATGCGTGTCTCTAGACCCGTCGACCTCGGTATAGTCTAGCAGCTACGCATGCGGACTCTCGGCCTGGCAGGCGTCCCCAGCAGTCCATCCATGCTACATCCTCCAGACCATGGGTTGCATCAAATCCAAGAGGAGCGCTTCCCACGCCGACAGTGAAGCGGCGAGGATGCGGGGCGAGAAGGCCTACTTGGTGCGCTCAGAGGACGGTTCTCCTCGGGCCGACCCGGCGCTGTTGGAGTACGCCCAGAAACTCTCGGAGGAGATCATGGCCCGGGCCGTGCAGCAGTGGGCCGAGGTGGACCGCCGTTACGGCGACATCCCGTACATCGAGTGCGACGTGCCGTGACGTGACTATGGAAGACCAAATGTTTCCGAGACGATGATATCCGAGGTGAAGAAGTGACTTCCGGCTTTTCCCTCTCAGGGGTCCCCACGGCGAATCACTGGCATGTTGTTTGGACGCCTCCCCGACGGGGCTCCGCTAAATCACGTCATCACAGTCGCCGACGGTTAGCGCGTGTGCCTCATCGTTCTGCGGTCCCGGTTTTGAGTCTCGGCTCATCTTCCCACATTCCAAATACACGGCCGCTCGAGTTTGAACAGCTGTTTGATGGCATGTGCCCTGCAATTGGCTCGCAAACATTCCAGGGCGCGTCCCACTTTTCTTGCCAAAAGTCATCTGAAGTTAACGGAAGACTCTAAATCGTCCCCAGCTGGAAATGAGACTCTGAAACGCGACCAGTCCTGGGTGCACCCAACTTGCGACGTGTCCGCTGCATGCGCCACAGCCACAGGTCTTTTACATTAATTGCCAAGTGACATTTGGTGGTTTGGTAATGAAATGCTGTCTTCACCAGTGAAAATATAAGTTGTGCTTTTAGTGTCTTCACGGGTGACCAAAATTGAAACGGAATTATAACTGTAATGTTTTTCACTTCTGTCTGCATTTGCAATCAAATTGAATGGCTTCTTTGTGGTCCTGTTTGACAGTTTTTGTGAAATCCCCCCCAAAAGAAAGAAAAATGGTTGTCAAGTGCTCCACAGAAGTTTTTTACGGGTTACTAAAGTTCCGCTCGCCTCGTCACAACCCCTCGACTCCACTCCTGGTTGTCATGGTAACCAAAACTACTCTGCCTTGAACCCGTCTGTAGCGGAAGCATCAGTGACAAGAGTAATAAAATGGGTTGAAGTACTGCATCCACCAATGAAAATACAATCCACGCATTTACCATTGATGCAGGCACTTGCGTTCATCAGACTCGCTTGCCTTGTCGCAACGCCATACCGTGCCCCCGGTTGTCACGGTAACCAAAGTTGGACTCTGGAGTGAAGGAGACACGGCGAGCAGTGGCTCATTTGCACCAGACGCAACAGCCGCCGCAGAAACATTTACACCTGAAAAGGGGAGGGCAAGGTGATCAAGCGACCACCCCGATTGTTAGAAAATGCGATCCCGTTTTCGATGACCTAACTCGAAAATACTGCCATATGCCCCTCAACAGCATAAATATGCAACCGTATCATCTCCTTAAGCATTCAAGTGTATTCCGGGTCAAATAGACCCGTTTGTGGAATTAAAAAAAAAAGAAAAGTCTTCTTACTGTTTCCTTTCATTGCTTGCACTCATTTTTGGGAACAAAGAAATGAATTTTGGGTTGGTATTTTTGTTTCTCGATTTAACACATCGGGTCACATTGATCCAGGAACAGAAAGATTTTGTGGAACAGAAGTAATGCCACCGTTTCCGGGTCACATTGACCCAGGAACATTGTCGGGAGTACATAACCTACAGTACATAAAAGAAGGGCGAAGAAGTGTTGCGCACGTTGATCCAAAACAGGACGATTCAGGTTGATTGCCTCCAGTGTTTCTGTGGATATTTTGTTCAGACACCATTTTGTGTTTGTTGCACACAGTGACTGAAAGATTTTGTGGAACAGAAGTAATGCCACCGTTTGTCGGTAAATGGTTGGTCTTTACGGCTTGGACAGGAAACGAATGGCCCATCGCACACGAAGTATCAAGAGCGGGTTTGGGACGAGCAACCTTCGGCACATGGACAAAAACAGTGGAAGCAGTGTGCTAATCTTCGGCGACGGACGGGGGTAATCCCAAACATATTGCTAACACGCTAAAGATTAAAGTGGACTCAGCGGTTCTTCTTAAGCGGATGTCATTTGGTTTGCTGCGGGGAAGCTGGCTGCAAAGTTGACACGCACAAATTTTAAGTCCATTTATTTGACGTTATCTCCATCGGAGCTGCCGTTTAAGAAAAACAGATGCAGAGAGTGCCGTTATATTGCGGGTCAAATTGACCCAGGGCCGAAAGGGAGTTATCGGTATTTCTCCCCAAATGAATGGCGCTGTTGTGTGTTACCTTCTTTTTTTGATGCTTAACATGCGGCGGGTCAAACGCAACCGTGCGGTACTAAAAGGGAGCAAATTTGCTTCGCCAGATGTGGCGGAAAGGTGCGCGCCGCTCGCCAATCGGAGTCCCCCTTGGACTTGTTTTTTGTGAGTTGAAAGAAACAGAACCCGCCCATAGAGGGAAAAAATGAGCATAGTCACAAGGTAGACAATGTGAACTCATTGAATTGATTAAAATTCACTTTTTTTTTTTTCAATCGACTTGTCCACCATGTGGGTGTGCCAATTCAAACAAAGGGGAGGGGCTAAAGAGCAAACACAGAGCGATCCGAAAACGCGACGAGAGTTCCCATTGAACGCGGGGCTGCTTGCTATGCGTTTATGGCGCTTTATCGCTCTGATCTTTGAACATTGTTACCTAATACAAGCAAGCAAGCGCCAGCGGGGGGAAGATTAGGACATGACATAATAGCCGGGCTGATTATTTGACAGCGAGGGCGGCTGGAGCGACTCGTCAAATCAAGTCCGCGCTGAGCGGGAAGCGTTCGTGCCATAAATCGGAGCGTTTATGAGCACGGCTTCGCTCGACATTCAAGACAGCGCGTTGCTCTTGTTTCATCAATAAATAATGAAGCTACTCGGACCGCATGTTGATCGGAAAGGTTTCCCGCGGGCCTCCCGTAGTTTCTCAGAGACCGCAAAAAAGTCGCAGGCTGGCTCGATTTGGCACGAGGCACATTTGATTTCCCTCAACGTGATTTCATTCTCAACTCCATTTCGAACCATTTATGACGCATCTGTTTACTTTGGGATATGCAATCAATAACGCGGTTTAGTCAATTGATTATCCATAGCATTACTTTCTACCAAAGACGGCAGACAATTGACCGTGTTTGATTGTCCCAAAGTGTCAGAAACAAAACACTGTTGACGCTCTATGTCCTCACTTCCTGTGTTTTTTGGAACATGGCTTTTTTGTCAAAACGGCAGACTTTCTGCGTTATTTTGATCCTGGCCTCTTGAGGCTTTTTTTTTTTTTTGTGGGTCTACTCATGATAGACATGACTAACAAATTTCTCGAAGCTCTAAGAAACTGGCTCCGGGAACTGATTTGCTACCGGATGTTAAGTTTCCTCCAGAATGAATAAAATGGGCAAAGTCACCCGAAAACGGCCACTTTCACCCAAGACCTTTTTTTGTGGGTCTTCTCCAGATAAACATGACGACCAAATTTCACGTCGCTCAGTGAAACTGGCCTCGGGGGTGAAATGAAGCATTCATATTAGACATGTCACAGACGTGAATGGAAAACTACTATTCCGATGGGTCAGCTTCAAGCGAGCGCCGAAGGAGTCAAAACATCAATCAAAAGGCCTTCTCGCCCAGCAATGCGTTTGCACTTTGTCTGACCATCCGGAGGGAACAAAAGCAGGGCTGCACCGAGCAATTTGTTTAGTTGATGAGAAGCCAAGGCACCGACGCCACTACATCAGCGGAGACACCTTGTCCATACAAGGACATGCGAGCACGCGGCTGACGTGCTATGCCGGACGCTTGCGCGGTGCTGAAGTCACACAAGACGGAATCAGGACTCGGGTGGCAGTCCAAGCATTTTTCCACATGACCTTTCCCGCTGGGCTTCATCAATTCACATATTGGCACAATGTACTACTCACAAAAATGGACTTCTAATAACTTTTTTTTTACGCAAGTCATTTTGACCGTTGTATTGTAAACTGGAAAAAAGTTGCCCCACCCCCCCAAAAAATATATATAATAATATAATAAGAATATTATTAGACTTCTGCTGGCCTTCTTTTTTCCACATTGACCCTTTTGAACCTTGTGTGTGTACCTGAGAAACACGACATAGCGGGAGGGTCAAAGCGACCCATTCGTAGGTTTAAAACTCATAAAAAGGATCAAAACAGATCAGCAAGAGCTTCATCCCAATTTTGAACGTTTTTTTTGTTTTTATTTCTGGCACGCGGTCAGTTTGACCCAGAATGCAAGGCGGGTTACAGTAGACAAGGTGGTGTTGCCGGCTCTGGATCTTGGCCCGGCTAAGCTACAGAGTCCTGACGGGCGGGGTCCCACATTGGGGCAAAACTCGGAAACACACGAGCACATTTCCAGAAACGGCAAAAAGATCGACTTGCTTGTTTTCATTTCACATTTGATGAGTCAGCAGACACATTTGGACCTCTCTCCGAAGAATGAAAAAGTCAGCCGGCCCTCATTATTTTCATGTTTGGCAAGCGTTATTACCTGATCCAAAGTTCATCGGTCACGACGGCGCACGCGTTGAAAATTGTCAGGTGACGCGATCACAACACCAGATCCGTGTCACCAAGCGAGGAGAAGCACCGCTCCACGCTGGCGTCCGGAACCTCCTCCAGGGTAGGCGGCTCCCATTTGGGATTCTGGTCCTTGTCCACCAGAACTGGTCACACACACACACAGAGAAGGAGTCGAGCGACGTTTCCAGGCGCGACGCGTGTACGCGCCGTCCGACTTACCGGCTCGGACGCCCTCGTAGAAGTCCCGGCCCCGCTGCAAAGCAACGCAAGACGCAAACGTTACGGCTCAAAAGGAATTGGATCCACATTGCGTGTCAAGTTGCTGTTGTAAAGGAACATTTTATTCAAGAGTATAACCAACGGAGCCCATCATTAGATGTTTCAATTATACAGTTATTGTGCGGGTCATACTGACCCCCGCCCCTCCAAAAAAAAGGGATAGCCTTGTGAATGTTCTTTTTTAGTATTATGAATACAGAATAAATCGATTGCATTTTTAGTGGAAGAGCGGGTCACATTGACCCGATAGACCTAATACTCAAAGTGGGGGCAGAAACGTTGAAATGACTTTTCTCTTTTTAGCAAAAAAAAAAAAAAAAAGTTGGTGCAGTTGTCGTCAATGATTGAACATTTTTTTTGAGAGTTAAAAGTAGAGTGGGTCACACTGACCCGATACACGACAGGCTTAAAAGGGGCAAATATGTTGAATTTCCAGACTTTTTGGCTCCAATTTTATTTCCTATTTTACGACATCTGAGCACTCTGGCACACACGCAGCACAAAAACATTGACCTCTTTTTTTCATCTTAAAAATGAAGGGGGGAAAAAAAGGATTTTACTTGAGGGGATTGACTCAAAACCAACCACCTCATTTTTGGGATGGCT